AACAAAGAATTTAATAAATGCGCCCCTTCCATATGTTTCAAAAAAGGACCCTTTATGCTACAGAATCCTCTTGCCCCTCAAAATATTTGCTGCCAAAAACTGGTACTTCAACAGCTTTATAGCTGGAGAAAAAAGTAAATTAGCTTAATGTTATAGAAGAATTCTAACAGAAATCACCCCGCTGCAGTCTGGTGCAAACAGCCTGGAATGAATCAGTATCATCTCCTAGCGCCCTGCTACCCTGCTTCACTTCTAAGGCCCTCGGAAAGGAATCTTCTCATTATTTCACCTATCCAGACATGTAGGCTGACTCCAAAGACAGAGCAAAAGAAAGCATGCTGCCTTTTTTTATCCTCCTTAAACTTAAAACCCAAGAAATATAGCTGTATGAAGGTGGCAGAGTAAGGTTGTCCAGGCTTTTTTCTCACACTAGTTTTGCACACTTGAAAGTAAAAAGCAAGCAAAGCAGCATTGAAGGGCTGAGCAACATCCAACGTATTACAGAAGGAAAGAGCCTGAACAATCAAATGGGACTTTTTTTTAACACTATATTGCTTCTGTGATCACAGTGGTCACTGTCTCAAAGAATAAAAGAATAGTGATTTCAAATGCTTCAGGGCAGAGTCTATAATGATGCTTTAGTTGAGATTAGAAATGTGCTTCTGAAGCAAAGGCACTGATCATCCCCATTTACTGCTCCTTGGTTCACATGACAGAGCTGCCTTGGAGCATATCAACTTCATTCCTTCTGGGCAAGACTAAGGCAGATGTGCTCGAACAACTACCTGGCATCCTGTCCACAGGAGCAGGCATTAGCAAGCGTGAAATAAAACTCTCCAAAACGTCTGTCAAGGCGAACACTGGGTCCTCAACACCGAGTAGGTCTTTCGCATTACTTAATGTGGACACAGCCTAAACCGTGCAAGGAAACCTTCAGCTCTTCCTACAGGGCACATAGCTTTCAAGATACGAAACCTTCGGCTGCACCAACCCTGTAACGATGCTCTATGTATTTTTGCCAAGACCAGGACACGGGGCTACACTGACTTTTGATCCAAGTCAGTACAGCCAGTCAAGAACAAGTTTATTTATGAAACTAACCATTATTCCCCTATGAAACACAAGCATTACAACTGACATGGAAATGAGAAGCACAAAGAACAACAACTTCTTGAATATAAATCCAGAAGGGCAGCATAAAAAAAAATTTTGGGGGGTGGGGAGGCAATGCTGTAAAGAAGGTTTCTGTAAGAAGCTGAAACGAGAGTGTTTTCCCTCCTTTTCAGGGGATTTTCTCTGCAGTCTGGGCTTTCACCTTCATGACTTCTCAATATCATGACGTTGAGAACCTCACCAACCCTCGCAGAGCAGGACTGCAGCCTAGTGCTCACCTTCCTTCCCTTAGTTTCTTTTTTTAGTTTTCTTTCAGGAAAGACAACAGGGGTAATTGCAAGCTCCTGTAATTGGAAACCACGTGGTTTATCCACCAAGCAGAAACAGCAGTACGCCATTAATAGCTTCTCTCTTTCGTGAGATTTAAAAGCAAGCTTGGTTTGGGCACTAAGCTGTCAATATCAAAAAAGACAAGGATAGTAGTTACTTGCAAATACTCTCTGCCACTGAATCTTCCCGAGTGCAAGTACCACAAGGAGAGTGTTTCAGGAGCTGTTACTCATTTTCACCACTGAAGACAGAGTCTGCAATACACGCGATTCTTCTTGACACAAGAACAAACAGGCAGGATGTTTCCACAGGGCACCGAGATTACAGCCCACAAAAACCCTAACCTACCAGACCAGGGGCTGCAGAAGGAGAAAACACACCTATTTCTGAATTTTACTGCTTACAAGTCACGTTATGCAGGACTCTAGCAGGAACAAAGACAACATTCTCCACCATCCCTTTACTAGTGACAAGGGGAGATTATCTGTATCTTCTCCCCCATTTCCGAAACTTCTTGTAAATAAGACGCTGTATCTCTGCTTGTTACACTCAGTTAAGTAGTTCTGCACATATCAACTTCTCCCAAGCCATTTAATACAGCAGTCTTATCAGCAAGAACCAGCCTTGGCTTTGTAAGGAAAATAATCAGGTTATATTCACTTAGTCCAAAAGTACCCCCTTTAATCTGAAGAGCATTGACTTGATAAATGTGTGTAAAAGTGTTTCCCAAACACAACCATGTTTATGGATCTGTGTATTCTATGATTTTTAATGCCTTTACATTAACTGCTCAGAAGTGCTCTAGATAGTAGAGCTTTTTTTTTTAATGAAACACTTATCCAAAAAAAGGAACCAAATTGGTATATGTGTAGGCAAAATTTGTGCAGGCAAAGTTCACTTAGATGATGTCTTCTATAAACAATGAATTCACACCTTAATCACTATTTTCTGCAACTAAGTGCTCCCACCACAGAGACAATTGTACCAGTTCATTTTGCATCTTCCTGCCTTCAGCCCACACAGCACAGGGACTGGGGCCGACTTGAAACAGTGGGAGTTTGAGTAAGATCAAACACCGAGGAAGAGCTGCACTGCTCTTCGGACATTTTCACCCCCCCACACCTTTTGAAATGGAGCAGGAACTTTTTCTTAAATCAAATGAACCTGAAATGTACTTACAGTCCTTCCTGAACACAACTTCAAACAGAAATGCCAGCTTCCAGGCTCTGATAGAATGACAAGAAACTACTAGCAAAACCTCCTTCGCACAAAACAACATGGCAACAAATTTCAAGAGCTAGAGCAGATCTTATTCTTGTCCTCTGAGTCTAGATCACAAACTGATTAAACTGATTTTGTTGGTTTTGGGTTTGGGGTTTTTTTTTAATATAGAGGGAAGGCATGCTGATTCTCACTGAAGGGGCAGCTGCAGCATCTCTTTAAAAAAAAGCAACACAGCCCCAGGTTTCCATTTCTCTATATATTCACAATTTCACTGACTTTAATTTCCTAAGCACATCCACTCCAAACCTTATTCCTCCCCCCCAGTACAAACATGTTTCTCCACTGAACCAAATCTCTATCAAATATCAGGACACTGCCACACACCGACAACATCAGAAGTTAAGTAATTAACAAACACTGACTTACATCCTTATATTTTTGTAGGGCCCTTACACTTCCCAAAAGGAAGGTCATATTCTTAGCTATTATGGCCTGAACTTCACCAAGCTAGAAAGAACAGCTGAGAATGGCAGAAAATAATACCACCACCAGAACTTTTTCAGCACATCTACAGTGCCGTGTGTCTTCAATTGTTTCCCAGGAATCTGTTAGCAAGCTTAGAATTTTATTTAGGCATACTTTAACTCATTTATACCTGCCAGTACGTATCATCTTACTTAGAAGTAAGCTAAAAACTAAATAACTGAGTTGTAAATAAACTTACGGTAAGACTGAAACAAAATCCCAGGAAGTTCCTCATTAAAAAACAGACTCCATATACAGCAACCCAGTTGGCAGCAGCTTAGTTTTATTTTGCAATGTTTTCTTTTAATTTTACTTCGGCATCTAACAGAGCTGGGGAGAAGTGCTTCAGACTTCACACACACACAACTGCAGGTCTTCTCCTTTCACAAGTCCATCTGCAATTTCTATGTGATTCTCGCATCATCCACAGGAAACAAATGACGTAGCAACACACATATGACATTACTCATGTTCTAAAGATGTTACTTTGCTTTGGCAGTGGAAAGAAAAACAATGTTTTCCTTCCATGAAAAATGCATACACTTAAAATTAAGTGTATTTTAATTTTTAGGTAATACCAGCTGAATTGCCCATGACCCTGTTGCAGCAATCATCTTACCAGGTTTCATGGTATCTTTGGCACAAAGTAAAACGTGAGGCCCATGGGAGGATATTCTTCATTGTCCTGCTATTTCTAAAGTGGTTTGATCTTCTACATGGCCGAAAGCTCTTCTTTTCCAAATGGCAAGAACAAGATGGCTTCAGAGCTGATGATCTCTCACTATTCTAGGGTATCGGGCTCCCTGACCTCAGGATGGTCACCCTCTCCCAGGATGCCCGCTCATAGTGACCCTAACAAATACAGCCCAGCTCCTTTCCCCCAGCCCCCTGCTACAGAGAGAAGGGTGTTATTTCCCAAGTAAAGACAAAAGGAGAAAGATGTTCAACCCTAATCGCCCATCATTTGGTCTCCATTTAGCATATAGATAGCAGCTGCTTCAGAGGAAAGAGGAGGGGAGCAGCTAGATGGAAACAAGGGACACTGCAGTAGGGCTAGTTACAGAAGGAGTACACCAGGCTGGACACTGAACTCGAGCCAGCACACAGGAACTATCCAGTTGCACCAAACACCTACAACTGCAATTCTCCAAGCACAGTGTCAACTGCTTACCACTATGCAAACGTTTCCAGTGTGAACTCCAAGTCCAATTATCTCTGCCTCTGCTCCCTCACAAGCTAACCAGGGCAGCACCAAAGTCCCCATGCTCCTACACAAGTGTCGGTGGCGGCAGGTTGCAAACTCCACTGTTCACCACAGGATCACCTAATGGGAAGTGTCTCGCTTGAAGCATATTCCATTGGCATTGACCCATTAGCTTAACAGAGCAGAGTGCTGTCAGCTCACAGGGAGTACTCAAGCACGTCATGACAACCACCCAGCACCCAACCACCACAGTTCTTCGACCACACCACGTTCTTAATGACACCTGTCAGTATTTTGATAACGAAGTTCAAGAGTAACAGAATAAAACATTAGTTATGTCATCATCACAAACCATACGGGAAAACATAAATTGATCCCCCCAGATACTCAAGAGAAGCAGGATTTCATACAAAATCGTATTTTTGAAAAAATAAGTTGATGTGTGCCACATTTCTTCATGTGGATGCCTTAAAAAGGAATTAATGTATTTCAGTTCACTAATCATGTACTATTTTCTCCCCTTTTGCTGTGGATTTTGCAATATCTGAAAGCACTGTGGTTTTCCAGACTCCCACTGTAAGAAAAATTCAATAGGTTTACTTACGCATTAGGTTGTAAATGTGCTTTTCTGCAACATGTTCCGTAAACAGCTTTATAAGGTCATCTTTTAAGTCTCTGTTAAGCTTGGTTTCTATGTAAAATTTATTCTGGAAAACAAGACAGAAGTTTTCAAATTTGTTTTTCATGATAGCAAATACTTTTTCCATGAATAAAAATAGTTTAAAATTTTAAAGCTGTACAATATTTGACCTGTAAAGTGTTTCCTCAGTGACTGCATTTATAATGCACAGAACATTCCTGTATAACAAAAAATCCATGTACATAAAATCAAAAGTGCATGTCGTACTATAGGTAACAAACCTACTTACACACAGGGTTGGGTTTTTTTCCCCTCCTGTATCTACAGGTACATCTCCATATCAATCCAGACTGGACAGTTTGTAGAAAAAAAACACTTGGTTTTAGAACTTTACAAACGCTCCAACACCTAAAGAGGGCTGGACATCATATTTATAATGGAAGAAAGCATTTTTACCAATGTCTAGAAGTGACTGAGCCATTAAAATGGGTATGTTACAATAATAAATCATCGGTACAGTTATCCACTTCTGTGGGTCATCGATAACCTCAGAGGATACCTAGTCAAAATCAATCAACTGTGGAAATAAGTGCTATACACAAATTTATACAAAACTGAACTACGTTTAAATTTTTAGGATTCAATTATCTTTACCTACTCAGCATTAATAATAAATACACCTCTTCAACTCTCAAAGGAAATTCTATTAGGGAGTTCCTTGAGGGCCTCTATACCTAATGTACTATCTGGTATTATGCCTCAGTTCCCAGCTTGCAATTAATAGTAAGATTTCTTGTCCGTATTTTATTCATAGGTGGAGGGTTTTAAACGTTGGGAAAAAAAATAATTGTTTCAAGATATACCTCCTGTCATTACAACACAAACATGGAAGTGGAACAACCGAATTCATCTGGACAACTTGTGTAAAAAGGGTTAAACAGATACTGTAACAGAAAATCAACTTGATCAAAAATAAGATCCTGGGACACTAATCTGGGAGATTTGTTAGAGGAAAGTGATCTTAAAGGCTAAAGTTCTTTCCAGCCTTTAAATCAAGCTGTTCTCCTGTTCGCTAAGGCATTTACCCTGATTGGAACAAACCCTCAGAACACTACTAGACCTATCTTTACTTTTCTGTGTGCGTGTCACCCATTCTCTTGGCCATTACCTACACTACACACACGCTGATTAAACTGTCCATGCAGAAACTACTTAAATTTTCAGGGCAAGCATTCAGCAGCAGGTATTTACCTTTAATGAAAGCTGAACCTATGAGAACAAAGGCAATCCGAGGGTTGAACCCATGCCCCTGGTGAAGTCTAGATTTGTTGCAGTGACGGACAACAAACTTTAAAAGATCTTTTAAATGTTTAGTACCTTCCCACTGCCAGCTCCCTCCCTAAAGCTATCCTACCTGTAGAGGTTTTATCAAGGTTAATTATTCATTTGTTTGCCCCCCACCCGGGCCTGTTCTTTAAACAGACAGAATAACCTGCCTTGTAAGAGACAAACATCATTTGTAATATTCACAGTCACTGGTGAATTGCCATTGCAGCAGAAATTCACAGCAACTGAAGATACACATCTTCTAGGAAGTGTTGAGTGACACAGCACACTGCAGTCTTTCATCAGACCCAACTGCCTAAACCACTTCCACCTTGAGCTTCCTGACCACAGGCTACCACGTACCCACCCGTGTGACAGCCAGGAGTGACCGGAGCATCTCGGCACAAGACTACGGACCTGAATCAGCCCTGACCAACTAACTACTGATTCCTGTGAGCTGACAGATGAGATGCACCCAGCTAAGGAAATAACTTACTCTCTTCCTTACCCAGCCTCGTAGACCTTCTTAGATTAAAAGCAGCTGGCAACCTGTGCAAACTGTGATGCTTCCTGTTGTTCCAGCCTATACCTTACGCTTCATAATCAGAAAAACAGTTTGAAGCAGAAGAGTTACAACACAGGACTTGTACACAGAACAACTGTACAATCCTCTTCACATTTGCTCACTTTCCAAAAGGATGTTACACGTGCAGGAATTCAAACAGACAATGAAAAATCCCCACACATTAAGTAATACATTTCCAATCCACAGAGCGGAAAGCAGATGGATAGCAGAAAAGTGTCACCTTCACCAGTCTGGACAGTGGCAAAATGGGAAGATTTTCTGAATAAGGAGTCACTACCTAGGCTGCACCTGCATTTCTTGGAAAGTGTCAAGTCACCTAAAGGTCTAATTGACAGGGAAAAGGTAAGCAGGTATCAATAACTGAGAAAGTCAGATATGATACAAGCGTTTCTTCTACAAAACACCATAAAATAAATCAACCTGTCAAACATTAAAAGACATCATTGTGTTAATATTAAGATGTGATTAAAATACCTGAAAGAGAAAAAACAGTATATAAGAACACTTATCCCATCCACATATATATATATACACACTCACACATATTTGTGTATAGACACACACAACATGCCCTCTAGCTGATAAGCAACAAAGTGCAATACTACCCAGTAGGAGTAGTTTTCCATTTTAGAAGCAATGGAAAAAAAAAATCTTAACTATCCTAAAAACAGTGCTCACAAATGTTAGGCTCATTTCATGCCACAAGACAACAGATTTTCAGCTACATCTCTAAGTATAATTAACAAATGAGAACCTAATATTAAAAAAGTATATAATCTAAAGGCTGATTTTAATTTTTATTGAAGTGGGAATATGATTTTTATTCATTCGTGTGCGCAGCATACTGAGATGTACGATCTGTAGGCATACAGAACAACTTAATTTATATTTACAACACAAGTAGTTATTCACTAGGAATTATCCTCAGGAGTAAAGCACCATACGCTAAGGTGACTTCCAATTTAATTTGCTTCATCTGCGGTTACATCCCAGAACTTCTGAAGGAGTTTTAACCCACAGAATTTCGGAGGGACAAAAGTGCTTTGGGCCTCCATGCTTTCTTGAAAAGTCCACTGTAGAAGCAAACAACTGTAAAAAACCCATCACAATGTGAAAAAGAAAACCACAAGTGCTCCTAGAAAAAGAAGGAACAAGAAAAGCTCCCACGATTGCCAAGTCAGCCCTCTCCACCATCACTCATACAAGCTTTGAAGCACACCTTGGTCACCACACACAAGCAGATTAAGAAAACCCCTTCCCTGTATTCTACCATTCACACCCAAGAATATGGTTTGGCACGTATAAGGAGAAAGAAAAGCGCTGATGTCGACACCAAAACACACACAACTAAGCCTAAGACAAAATACTTGGCCTCTCTTGGCCACTACCAAGATAGAGACCCATGTTTCTGTTATACAAAAAACCCTTTAGGTTTTCTTGGCTTCATAGATTTAAAAAAAAAAAAAAAAAGTAAATGCATATTAAAAGTTTTCCTAAGCAGCAATATAATTATCCTTTCAGAATAAAGTTTATCAGTGCAACCCAACAGCTTTGAAAAATCCTGATTAAAGCACTCACTACCAAAAAAGGAAAGCCCTGCCATCTCCAATAAAAAGGCAGGGAGTTCATCAACTTAGTCCTCTTGGTCCTCAAAATACATTGAAAATACCTATTCAGGTAAGAGCGAAGCTCTGATTTATACTACAGAATAATTAGGCTTTCACCTCTTGCAATTGATTTTAATTATATTTTCTGCTCTAAATAAAGGAAACTGCTGCTGCTGTAGGCGAGAAAACCTGGTTAGATGGTACAGTGTCAAGCTGCAGGAGCGGCTGTACAGAGAAGTACTTCCAAATGTATGCAGAAAAAAACTCAGAGGAAAACATTCTTCATCCTGACTTCTCTAGAGATATTTTCCACATCATGCACAACACTGATTAATGAATTATTTAAGAGAAAAAGTATGAGACTTCATTTGACAGCAGCCTTCCAAAACAGCTATGCAGCTCAGCCAAATCACCATTACGCTCAAGAGGCAAGAGGAACAAGCACATAAATCACTAACTCTCAGACCCAGCTTGAATTCAGACACTTACATAAAAGAAAGTGTTTGCAGGAACAGTTTTACTGGTGAAGAAATCACTAGTCATGCTTTAAAGAAGCTTCTTGAAATCTATGAGTACTTTCACTCTTCTTTGTTCTCAAATCAAAAAAGAAATACTACCTAACTATTCATTTTACAGGTCTGTTTATTGCTCATTAACCATTTTTACTATGTTCAGATATCAGTTAGACTCAAACTCTAGGAAAGGAAAGGATGGGTTACAGAGCACTCCCCTGAAGATACAAACACCACATCACAGCTGTATACAAACATATGGAAATCCATTCAGCAACTAAACCTTATCTGGTCATATAGACAAAGCTTCTAATGATAAAACCTGCCTGTATGTCTATCACAAATAGTTTTTGACCTCTGTGACAGAAGAACCTCAGTGACAGGTGTGAGTACTCAAAGTCCACACCAGAACAGTTTAACTCCATTTGGAAATGGATATTAAATTATGAGATTGCTTCAATTTGTCTGCAACAAACAAGTCAAGCACACACTGGTGAAAAAAAACAGCTAGAATCTAAAAATGTCTGAATGCATCAGGGGAAAAGGCTCTTCCTATTTTTTCCCCAGCATTTCATGGCAGGAACAAGGAGAAAAACAAAAATCACGACCAGAAACACAACCCTCAGCGACAATTGAAGCTGTAGCGATGGACTTCAGTCTGTACTAACCAGATAAAGGCAACGTTAGAGCACACCCAGTTCAAGGAAGGGAAATCCCCCTTTAAATGCAACAAATCCATATGGCGACACTGTGCTGAGAGACTAGAGCGAATTACCTGGTTTCACAGATGCATTCACTGAAACAGAGGAGATCCTTCTAAAGGATATCGCTTCTCAAACTCTGGGAAGCTACCAATGAGGATAATTTTAATGAGTTTGAGGTTTATTTAAAACAATTTAAATGGGGTTTTTTTTTCGTTCCCTCTTTTTCTTTTTTCTTATTTTCTTTCCTAAGAAATACTTGCCTGAGTTTTTACTTCCAAGTGATGCCAATGCAAGGCCAGTTTCTGTGAGAAGGGTAAATTTCAAGCTTAAGTTATTCATTAGCATGAAACCCCAATAAAATCTTGGCACTTTGACAAAAACCAATACAAATTATAAACTTCAGAGCTGTAGAAAACTTGATAAATTACAAAATCAGGCACTTAAAGCCAATGGTTTCTGAACCTCTGCAAGCATGCCTGACCATGCTATGAACTGAAGTTTGTCTTCATCCAGTCAACACTCTAAACTGCTTTATCAAGTGACACAGACATTTTCAAGAGACATTGCTTTCTGTCTTGTCTGAATCTGTGTAATTTAAAAGTGAGAAACAATCATCTTCATAGCCTGCCCATACTACCAAGCCAACATGTACCAAGCCAATACACTACCTCTGTTAAAAAATATATAAATAACGACCTAACTATTTGGGAAGGCTTTTTAACAATCAAAATAAAAACCATTCTCTCACTCCCAGGACAAAAATCTTAGGGCAGAAACCAATTGCAAAACTCTACATTTAAAAACATGGCTTCCCTTTCCTCTTCCCACATGGTGATCCGTGCTGTTACACAGGTAGCAAAACCAGGCATGAATTGTAAGTTCAAGCTAAAAAGCATTATAGCTGCATTTTACTATTTTCACTTTCAATCAGCATCTTGTGAATGGACATACTTTAGTTGAAAAGAATTTTCTAAAACTTACCATATATATGAAAAGAGGCACAATGCTCTGCAATGCTCCCATATACTGTCCAAGAGCTACGTTAAATCTTTCAATATAGAGATCTGGAGGGCTGGCCTGCAAGAAACCGTAAAAGTCAGGTTGTAATTTGAACATGAGAAAGATCTGGAACAGCATGGGCTACGCTTTCATAGCAAACTCAAAAAACCAGAAAGTATTTGATACACCAAGTCCACACAAAGCAAGCCACACATCATTCCAGAGTTTCTGCTATAACTCCCTCCGGCAAAACCAGTTTTCGTCAGTAACTGCTTTTTGCCAAGGACTACGTCAGTACCCAGCAAAAGGCCCGTTCAGTAAGAAACACAGTACGCCTGGAACAAACCTGCATTTAGCATCTGCAAATAGAAACGCTTATTAAGGACCAGATCTTCCCTTCGAATTAACTATCTGTCACGCCTCGCATCCATAGCCAAATTCCATCAAGGGCTGGTGCGTTCCCACCCACTGCAGGCCTTCCCTCCCGGAGAGCAGGGGTTGCATTGCGCTGCTGCTTTGCATCCAAGCTGCAAGAGGCACATCCTCCAGCTCCAGGGAGCTCTGTCCTTCAAGCCAACATTTTTAAGTTTTGCTGGGCGACCTAAGGCAAGTATTCAGGGTACTGAGCTGGAGGGAATATGAAGTAATGTCTTCAGATAGAGCTCTGCTTCTGCACTCCAGATCAGTCCCATGAGAATCTACTGCACCCCCCCAACATGCAGCATCACCCTGCAGCCCCCCACCAACACTTTTTGCCACACAAAACCTGGATGTGTCAACTTTATGACAAGCCTCGTAGAGCCCAGTGGCAGCACTGGTGTTTTCCGTGTACAACACTGTCTTTCCCAAACAAAGAAATAAGGAAGCTCAGAGATCTGTTCTGCAGCAAGCTAAATTAAACTGAGAAGGGAACCTGACAAATGGGAAGCACTACCCACCGCTTCTTTTATGCATGTGTATTTGGAGGGAAGCAGGGGAGCTGTGTTAGAGCAGTCAGGAGTGCACTTCCACACCCAGGGATGGAAGTGGAGCTGGGGGAACGTGCTCCTCCACTAACCCCCTCCCCATCCCAACCCACCCCCATACAGTGCCCTGCCTTTGGCCCAACTCCTCCTGCTTTCTCTGCTATGGTCTCTTCCAAGGAAGGGCTGGGTAGGGGCCTGAGTTTCTGCTGTTCATACACACCACACACACCCCCCCTCAAGGTGTTGCTTGCTAATGAAAAGCAAAACTCTTCCCTTGTACCATTTTCCTCGCCAACAGCACCAGGGCTGTCAGAGGATGGAGATGCAGCAGTGACTGGGACCTTGCAAGAAAACAAACTCAACGATTTTTCTGAAGCCAAAGCACCTGTGGCATGAGAAACGCCCAAGGCCAACTGCACCTCACCTCAAGCACTTTATTGGAACTTAAAGCTCTTATCTTGAAGAAGCAGATTTTTCAACCTTTCTACAGATGTTCACCAGAGGTCCTAAGAGAACAGTTAGAATTTAAAGTTGACTTTTTGCTCTATTAAGTATTCTACATTTAATGAAGGGTTTTTTTTTCCCCCCTTTAAACTAGCTTCTTCTGCCTCCCTCCTCAATATGCTTAATGGACACACAGGTCATTTTCACAGTAAACACCGATACAGCGCAGACATCTCAGAAAGGAAAAGCAAAACTGGCCAAGGAATAAAGAATGTTATTCCACGTGCTGCTGCCAAAGGTTGTATGATCAAAATGAGGAATAACCATATAAGTTTTTAATCTTATTGCAGTTGCAGTTCTCAGGGGTGGCCAAACAAATTTGAGTTCAAAATGCCAACAACGTATGAAGGTGGCTATGAACTCCAAGGACTCCCTTTCATATATAGTTACATATGTAATTTGTTGCAAACGACAAGCAATGAAATCTCCATTTCTAAGCAGTATGTACTCCTGCCTCACTCCTTTTTAACCTCAGCTTTAAATATGGTTATACTTGCTGATTTGTAAAGACCTGGCGTACAGCTTCTCAGAGGAACGAAAAAGGAAAACTCTACTTCAAAGAACAGGTCAGCCAAAAGAAGCCCATGGCCT